CAAAACTATTTCTTCAGTTAATATTTCCATCTCTACCACTGGACCTTGCAACAGGCCTGCACTGGAGACTCCACATGTAGCGGTAAAAATACACAAGCAAAACTAAACATCCCACCAGAGAAGCTACCCAGACACCCACACAAATACATCACTGCAGAAGATCACTGCAGGTAAGTTTTCTGTTGTCTGTATAGTTTGCAGAAAGCACCTCCTGCCACCATCCCTGCACCCTACAAGTCTTGAAAGATTCAACTGCAGGTAGCTGGCTCTTCTAAAAATTCTTCCCTCCTCCCTGCCCAAAGGCTCATACTGTTGGGGAATTCACAAGTGTATTAAGCTTACTGCAGCACAAAGATAGGGAGAAATACCCCTGGAGCCCTGCCAATGCCTACAGGGAAATGCAGCAGCAGCCACCATGCTGCAGGAGCTCAGGGAGCAGCTGGAGTTCAGAAGCAGACTAACAACACACGAATGTGACCACCAAGGCCAGCTTCTCAAGGGAGACATCTGTCCACTGTTTATTGTACTCCTTCGTGAGACTCTTCTTTCCTGGCAGATTCAATCCCAGACTGTATCCAAATGTGCTAACAGCAAAGTGAAGCTTCAAACTGAATTTGGCTACTGGTTTGCAGGTTCAATCCTAGGCCCTTCACCTGGGCCATGCCCCTGAAGCCAGTGGCATCACACTGTGCCTACAGCTCACAACAGAATCCCCCAATTTTTCAATACACATCTCCCTCTAAAGAAACAAAGCAAAAGCAAACAAAAAAAAAACCCACCCCAAACTGCTTCTCTTTGCTGTTACAGATGACTCTCCTTTGACAGTTTTTTCCTTGCATTTGTACTTCCAATACCACCTCTGATTTCTGCCTAGCAGGTGATTTTGGGGCCTCTTAATGCTTTCCAAATGAGAACTGCAAATCCTCGTTTCACTAACCTGCTGAATGAAGTGGGAAATCTAGCTGCTGCCACCTTCTCCACACTGCCTGAGGTTGACTGGCAACTGTGCTACCTCCCCGCATTATCGATTTAAAGCCTTTATGCCCAGGCATAGAGAGAAGCATGTCACTAATGAGAAGTGAACTATGCAAGAGAACGTGGAGGAACCGGGAGGCAGGAGGAGACAAAGTAATGCATCTTTTCCATCTTCTTGCATCATGCATACATCTTTTTGTATCATTGTAATTACGAGGCCAAAGAACAAATCAGCTTTGAGGTATCTAAGTGCATATGGCTCCCCTCAAAGTTGGTGTAAAGTCTTGCTAAGTGAAAGGAAACATCAAGGCATGTCTTACTGAATGCCTTATACAACAGGCCAGCATAAGGCTGTTCCTGATGAGCCTCTGTACACTGTCATGACAAAGTTCACCTTGTGTTAAGTACTTTTGTACAAGGTGGTAATTGAGGTGGTATTATTACCAAGAATTATGTTACTGGTATTTTATCCTAAGTCTAATTTTTCTTCAATTCTTTAGAACTCAAATCTTATGTAAAGAAATTAACTTTTAGGTTCAACTAGCTTTATTCTATTTGTTAACATGTAAAGGGCACGACAGGTATTGACCATCTCAAATCAATGGACTGAAATTGCTACACTTGCTCTTTGGTGAAAGGGTGATTAGAGTGCTAATTGCTATACCAGGAGATGATACTCAAAAACCTTTGCAAGAGAGCATGGATTCTGCTTGGGAACCACATAAATAACAGCCTCAAGGACTACCTTAACCAGACCTGCAGCAGTTCCCAGAGGAATAGGTGTGAAACACCTCTGGCTTCACGCAACTCTCAGATTGGATGTCTCACATCCAACAGTAAGACACTGATTCAACAGGTTGTGGGGGTGTAGAAGCCCACCTGGAATGATCCACCTTGTAAAGCTAAGATCAAGACCCGTAACTGCTTGGTAGGCTGTAACCATGAAATCAGTGATAGTGAAAAGACATGAGGTGAACCAGGAAAAGGCAAGAGTGGTGGCCCATTTCGGAACTCTGTGTCAGACAGGACAGAGGGATTCCTATTTCAAATGTATACAAACCGAAGTTTATTTTTAAAAGTGCAGCTTTATTGCAAACTTAGTTTGCTCATTGAAAAATGTTACGTAATCACTTTTCAGGGAAGAGTCATCAAGGGAGATACAAAAATTGAAGTCTAGGCAGGGGAAGAGAGTTGATATCCTAAGCTGCCTTAATGGAACGTAGGTACATAACAGCCATTGATTTCAAATGAGGATTACGGACCTGCATGCTATGACAGCTTTTGAAATTCCCTGTCTAAATCAATGCTCAGATTAGGAGCTGGGTTCTGTTCTGAGTTAGACCAGTACAAACTCACAGTGACCTTAGACCGAAGAGGTCCTCGTAATTTATACCAATGTGATCAAGCAGAACTTGGCTCTCAGTTCTTCTCCTCCCTTCCCCTTCAGCATTTGCTAAGAAAGAGAAATGTGATGTGGGGCAAACATACTCTGCACTAGCTGCAGCTTCATTAAAAAGCTTGATGGGCACAAGAATGATTTCAAGACCAAATCCTGAAACCAGCTTGAAGAAATTAACATCCTCTAAAATGACATGAATACACAAGCAGATTAAATTGACCATTTGGTATACTAGTTCTCCACTCTTTTTCAGCCAGTCATCCAAACACGTTGAAGAAGGTATATGGACATAACGAAAATCATTTGCAAATCAAACAGTGTCTCCTCAACAAAGCATGGGGAACATAATACAAAAATAAATAAATGCCTTGTCAGATTTGCCTCATTTCACAATACCACTGGGCATTCCTCAATCAGCAGGACAATCACAAGCAGGGTTTCATAGGCTTCAATTCAACTTTTTACATGATTTAAAAACATTTAAATGTTACAAACATATTTAAATCACCACTTAAAAATATTCGGCTTATATTATTAAGATCTATTTTACCAAGTATGAAAGAAGGACTTCATAACAACAGAAGCATGAAAATAATTTTTTTCTCCACCCACATACACTTGCAATTTCAGAAAAGGACATATGCATCATCCATACTCCTTAAATATAAAGGAGGACAAATCTTTCAAGAAAAGAGGGGTAGTATGATTGCTACAACAGTGAGAAGACACAACACCTATCCCATTTAAATTCTGTTCCTTAGCAAGGTGGAGGGAGAGGTCTGAGTCAGAGATTTTGATGTGGGCCTGCCTGCTAACAAAATGAATTTCTATAGCAACTAAACTTCGTTCAATGATCCCTTGCTCAAACAATTTATTAGGCCTCCCCATTACATGTGCTTGGTATCTCTTAATTTCCTGAATTAGAATATGTGCAGGTAAGACATTTTACTGTAAGGTAGAATGAAATCTGTCTTCTACAGTAAGAGACTGAAATGTGAAATTTTTCTATTCTCTCTTATCTGCATCTCAGAAACAAACCAAGAAGAATAGAGACTTGTTATATTAAGTAGAACCTACTTTTACAGTCAAAGTCAAAGTACAATAGCAAGTTTGATCCCTATAAAGTCACAAGCAAATTCCTTTTTTCCCTTCCTGATAAAGAGATGCAAGTAAACACCTTATAATTTCTGCTGCATTTACCTGTTGGATAAAAAAAAATAAAATAAAAATTTAAAAGTCTAAAAGCTAGCGGACTCATTTCTTTAAGAACTGAAATTACTACCAAGGAGTCTGAACACTATCTTTAGCAGGTGGGCAATAAAAGCAAAACTGTCCTGTACACAGAAGGAATTCTTATCTATTTTGCTTTAGTGATTTCTCTTTTGGTTAGCTATGACTGCTGATAGATACCTGCTAATTCCTTACATATATTCAGCTTCACATACGGAGCATCAAACCCTACGAGTGTTGAAAAAAACTATATGGCTCCCAGGGGGGCAAAAACTATTCAAGAAAGTCTCAGTAGCTAGACATAAGTTGAGAAATGCATCCATTTAAAACTTATCAAAGGGTCTGACCTAGACTTGTGTGAATGGGCAGAATACCAACCAAATTTTTCCAGTTTCAGCTGGGAAATACCTGTCAGCCTGTCAGGCAAAGAGTTCTGGACAAAGCCACACCAGAAAAGGCAAATCATCAATGCTACAAGGCCACAGTAATTCAGCAAGGGAGAAAATTTCTGCACAGGAATCTTTACTACTCCATGCATGATCTATTTCAATCCTTCTGGTTTTATTTCTTTTCCCTGGACTAACTTTGTATCAGCCTTCAGATTTCTGGGCAACCAGTCAGCTGATCCCCTTGCTGCTCAATGAATTAAAAAATCACCATAATTAAAAAAAAAAAAAAACAAAAACAAAAAAAAACCCCAAAAAAACAAAAATCAGCATGCAATAAGAACAGTGACCAGTTCTGGAAGGGGACAACTCCCGTTTCTTCACCAAAAGAAGAAAAGGAACTGCTGCTTCCTGCACCCCAAACACACACATGCACACAGAGGAGGTCAAGAGACTATTTTAAGAAACTGCCAAACTCATCCTTGAACCATGATCTTGATTTAGGACTTCAGTGCACCATTCTCAAATCAATGTGTGCAGCCAAGTTTTCCATGCCAGATGCTACCTTTGGAAAAAATGTAAATTAAAAGAAAAAAAAAAAAAAAAAGAGCAAAATCAAGAGACTTCTGCCCACTGGAAAACTTTCTACCAGATGCTAATGGGATGGCAAGCACTGATCCAAACCCTAGGAAACAGTAACATGCATCAGTAATCTGAGGTATCTTCCCATTTCTAGGTCTTACTGCTAAGATCCATTACATCCAGTAACTGTGCTGTATCCTTAAGGAATTATTGGGGAACGGTGAACCTGCCTGCAATAAATGAGCACCGGTGCGTAACAAGCACATGTGAACGCTACAGCAAGGTTCACAGAGGGCTAACCCTGGTCAGTACTGAAGCAGGGGTTTTCTTCTCAACCCCCTCTTAAAAAAAAAAAAAAAAAGGGAGGACAGAAAAAAATAAAGAAAAAGGAAAAAAGGAAAGATAGAAAACACAGGTCCCCCATCTACCTGCACAGAGCCAGGCAGACAAGCTCAGTTGGAGGTGGTGAAGGGCGCAGATGCATTATTGGTACTGGTAGCGGTGGCACCGGTCACTGCGAAGCCCGTGGGAGGAGCTATGGAGCTGTGGCTGGGCTGCAGGTCCTTGGGGATGCCACTGTGGGAGCTCAGCTGGTGCCCAAAGGCTGCGCTGAACTGAGGGAGCTGTTGTTTAGGGGAGGTGGAGGCCATGAGTTCAGCGGAGGCAGGACCCATGCCACTAAAACTGGTCTGCGGTAACCCCGGAAGCACACTGGAGCTGTTGGGGGTCACAGTGGCGAAGGCAGGCTGTGTGGTCTCTGAGTGCGAGGTGGTAGGTGGTGTGGACAGGGAGGTGGACAGGAGGTGTCCATCTGCACCGAGAAGGTTGCTAAACGGAGAGGGGTCCCCAAGATTGACAGGAAGATTTCCCCAGTGAGTTCTGGGGTTGACCACCCCACTAAGTGGCACATCCAGCTGAGTTGGGAGCAAGTGCTGTGCCATCATGGGCATCTCTGCTGAGAAGGTAGCTGCCAAGTTATCACCAGAAAAGGATGTGGTGTGAGGGGATGTGATATGGTCACTGTAGGGAGACGGCACATGCTCACTATCATAATGGCTTCCATGGGGTGAGGAGTGTGAATGGTCACTGCTGTATTGCTGTCGTGAGGTGATCAGGTCATCTGCCTTGCTCAGCAGCTGGGCAGGGTGGGGCCTCTGGGAGGCATGGCTGCCATCATGAAGTCCATGAAACTGTCCTGGGAAGGCTCTCTCCCCAAGGCCACTCTGGCTTATCAGAGTGGCAGAAGTAAGGCCGACGTTGGCTGGGGCTGAGAATTGCCCCTGGATCTGCCCTGCCAGGGGCGTAGGTGGGTTGGACAAGGTAGCAGAACGGAGCAAGTTCTCATCCAGCTCCAGACCGGAGAAATTATCATGTACTATACGCCCATTCAACAGCTCCCCCAGATCCGTGTTAACCTCTCGACTCAAGGACTGCATTCCTGGAGCTCCAGCACCTGTAGAGAACACCCCTATCCCTCTATCTGACAGCTCCTGAACTGGCACACCATCTGTCTGTGTAAGTACTCCAATGGTACTCAGGCACTCAAGAGAAGTTACAGCTTGTAGGGCCCGTTCCAGTTCTTCAGCCTCTTCTGTAGTTGGAAGGAGATCTCCATTTTTACCTGCAGAAACAGGGACACCAGAAGTTAGCGCACTCCTCTCAGGTGAGCCTGGCACTCTAAGGATGCATATGTACAAACAGTTCAGTACAGAGCTGCAGTGTATGATAACCTTCCAGAATGGCTTGCAATACACAGAAAATTTCATTCACCAGTGTTCACTAGGTAAGGAAGGGGAGGAAAACGAGAAATTACACCTTCCTCTTCAATGGAACTCCCTCTCTCCGCCCCCCTCTTCCACATACTACAATACAAGATGCCTCCCAAACTTACTAGACCTAAAGTAAAAACACTTAAATAAGGTTTTCTTCAATGCTGCAATAACACAAATAGTCCACAAACTCCCTTCTACTTACGACATTACAGCCTGGACTTAAAATTTACACAGTTGGTATAACCTAGGTTAATTTCAACTCAAACACAGTCTGATGCCACACCATGTCAAAAAATGACCAAAGGAATCCCATGCCCCAACTCTGGGCTGTTCTAATTTCTTTGTTATACATTATAGGTACTGAGCTTTAGAATCCAGAAATTCAGGCACAGGTCTGATCAAAAGCTTGTTTCAAAAATGTATTTAAAGATTTTATTCTCACTCTCTTCTCCTTTTATCAAAGGCCAACATTGACTGTGATTCCAGCCCCACTCGATGGCAGAAAGATGCCATTACTGAGAATACTCTCGATTAAACTGCAACACTGACAGGCAGTAAAAACATAAAATGAATTATTAAAATACTAAACCAATTAGGATTTTCAGAGCAGTAATTATAAGAGGAAGCAGAGAACTACACACACCAGCCTTCTTAAAGTCTGCTTTACTTCAGAGCTCACAAACAAATAATAGAGCAAATGCACACTTCCTTGTCTAGAATTTATTACCTCCATAGGAAAGCAAGCAACCCCTCAAAATGCATTTTAGAAACATTTTAGAAATGCATTTCAGTTCACTGACTGTGTTCATGTTAGCATAAAATAAAATAAAATGGTACCTTCAAAGAAATCAAAATCTTGCAAGTCATCGGGCAGCCGTGGCAGGACATCAGAGAAGTCCTCCTGATTCAATTCCAAGTCATGTGGAATGTCTGTGATTTCATTGGCGATATCGTCAGGCAGCTCATCGGCACTCAGCTCTGGTGTGGAGGGGCTCCTGGACAGAAAACACCATTAGTCCTCAGTGTTCAGCTCAGATTCCTCCAAACAACAACTATGAATGCATATCCATCCATAATGGTCGTTTCCCCACACCTTTGCCCCCCCCCCCCCCCCCACCATCTAGGAAAAACATGCTTTTAGAAAGTTTCTTTAAGAAGTTTAAACTTAGCCTATTGATTAAATACATAAAATGCGGCATCAGAAGCAAGACGACCCAGTAATTGATCAAATCTGAAACGACCCACTCTAAGGTGTTTGGTTTTTTTTTCTCAACAGTCATATGCAATTTCTAGCCCTGCTGCAGATGCTGATCAGCACAGCAACATCACACCTTTCTACAGTGCTCATTGACAACGTTCAAGCTAGCAGTGGGCAAACTGGGGCAGGGCTACCACTGACCGTATGTGGGGCATCTCTACTGGCAGTGAGACACTAGCAGGCATGGTGAGGTTCCCTTGGGGCACTGCAGGAGGAATGGGTTTCTGGGGCCGGCGTGGGCCTCGCCTTCTCTTCTTCTTGTGTTTTTTGGTAAGTGCAGGTGGCTTTGTTTTTTTCCTGGGTTTCCTCTGCTGCTGGTGCTGAACTTTACGGGAGCTGTCCCCTCTCAAGAAATTGTCCTTTGGGAATAAAACAATAGCAATGGGAGCGTATTAAGAACAAGTACTTTCCTTGCTTTTTTCTCCCCTGGTCGTTCCAGACATTCACATGTAACGCAAGACAGACTGCTAACATACACCCAGGAAAGGTTAAAAAAATTAAGCTGTTTCTTTCCTCATTGATCCCAGTGGCAAAAATCACATAGACTGAATTATGAGGTATGCTAAACAGGAAATCGTGCAGCATCGCTTCAAAAATTATCATAGCAAACCCTAATTAAATCAGTGCAAAACTGTAACCTTTGGCAGCATTCCCGTAAGTATTAAAGAGAGAACACTGTTGTGAGGTGGCAATAATGGGGATAGCGTGCAGCAGCCGAAGCCATAATCCTCAAGTGCCCACTGCCATAAAAGAGGGACAGCACTGAGGAAATGGAATTAATACTGTAGGCTAGGGTAAGGATGTGGGTAAACAGCTAAGGCCTCATTGCTTTTGAAAAGCAATCACTGACCAATGGAAAATAAATCAAACCATCATCAGTTTTTAGTTGCCATCATACTGGGAATGGCAGAGGATTGTATGAGCTACAGAAGTCAAACTTGAGAGACACAATGAAGATTGTCTGGGAGAGAGGGAAAATCCCATACAAATCTGTGTAGCACAGACTCTCACATTTTAAACCAGAAAACTCCAGAATTCACAAGTACTGGAGAGACTGGGCAAAAACAGTAACAGAAAACACACAACAACCCAACAACACACACACAAAAAAGGCAGATTTATGCCTAATGCCTTGGAGGAGGGGGGGGCAAGGCAGAAAGACAGAAACAGGTTTGTGAATTATCCTAAAAGTTTTGTTCTGGAAGACAGGAGGAATAACAGGAGAACAGAGGACATCATCTTAATTTCTGCATTCTCTCAACTTGTAGTAGGCTACAGATCCCTGAAGGAGGTTAAAGATAAATTCTAATAGATAACAAAAGGTAAAAAAAGGTAGCAAACCCATTATTTGTATGCTTGTAATTGCTATCTATACTTCCTGTAGAAAATATTTTGGGCTCCAGGTACTGAGACTGCTTGAGGTGTAGTGTTCTTATCATACCATACTCATACTGTATTCAGATCCAAGGGCTAGGAGTGAGCCCAGATAAAATGACCACAAAATCTCTCACAATGATTTTCTATTTCTCAAATCAAGAGAAGAATCAAATTTCTTCCAATGAAGGATATTCTCATGCACTCTTTATGATATCCTCAAAAGCATGTAAAAGACTTTCACGACGTACTCTATACTAATTGGGAATGTTTGGCATGTTTTACCCTCTTAAGAAAAATAAAAGGAAACAGGCTCTTAAGTTCATAAACTTGCTAGTTATCAAGCAAGAGTTCATAGAAACACTGGGATTAAAACTCCTGATCATCCCAATACACAAATAATTACAGTTTTCCCTTTGTACTTACCATTTTTTTGGCATGTTCTTCGCACAGAGGTGTTTGATGTGTAATGTCAAAAACTGGCACAGAGCACTGTTGACCATCTGCAAACTTGGCTGTACAACTTGAGAAGAGCTGCTGAGAACGGTTCAATAAGATATCTGTGCATTTCTGCATCAGGAATAACATATGAAGCAACGATGGAGGAACGCCCTTTGATTTATCAATCTGATGAAGATCAGAGCCTTCAACTCTACCTGTCCATAGATGCTATTTTTAATGAGTACCTTAACTTTGTTATTCAAGTTCAAAGCTAGGTAAGGCTCAAACTCAAATTTTAAAGTGAAAAACTGCATTCATGCAGAATCTCTAATGATTTTATTATATATTGAGATAGTTTTATAGAAGCAGCCATTTCACTAATGAGTTCTTAGCAAAAAGAAGCCTTTTCCTGGAGTCTTAATCAATAGATCAATAGTAGAAGTTGGAACAGTGTAGTCAACAGGACTATTTCCTTACAGACTAATGACAATCTATACTGAAACATTAAAGAAAGAGTATTTCTTAATTCAATCTTTTAAGGTACATTCTTGGCATTTATCTTTAGAGCACAGACAAAGAAGTTTCAAGATTCTTCCTGCTCCTCTGAAAAAAAAGATGTGCAATCAGACAGAAAGGTCAAGTAAATCCAAACGTAAGCTTGCTGAGATTTCCTTCAGAAAAATCCCCTGCAGGAGTGAAAATGTTTCCAGACTTACAGCAAATCAAACAGATATTTCATTGTGTTTTTTCAAACAACATTAGAAGCACTCCTTCCATCTTGAACAGTTCACAGACCCCAACATCACTATGTATGTTCATAAAATGTTAAAACACAAAAGGAAGGACAAAGAAAATGGAAAACCTGCAGAACTGTCCAGATGGCAGACTTGGACGGACAGGTCAGAACCAAGAGGCTGTTCTTTTTAGGAGAGACTGCTTCCATTGAGAAGAAAGTGCAGATGGAAAAAAACCGGCACAAATTCAAAATCATGTCTTGACTTCTCTGTCCTATGCACACCAACAAGCAAGACCACATAAACTTATAAAAAAAAAAAATTAAAAAAAATCCAAATCATGAGGCAAATCCTCAACAGAACCACAGAGGTTTTGAACTGCTCTGCAGACTACTTTTAAGGGGCCTGCCAAAATCAACCAAGAAAAACAAGCTATCTACAAACCAAAAAGACTGAAAAGGTGCTGCAGCCTGATAGCAACCAGAACAGACCAGCAGTAGTCACTTAAAGTACCAAAACCAAAAGGTCCAACAAAAGGAGTCACTCCAACACAAGCGCCGACAATTCTTCAGCTAAAAAGACAATTTTAATAATTCATTTTTCCTAATCTAGAACATGGATTCTCTGACTCTTTCTATTTTGCTTCTTGAAACAGTGCAAAGTATCAGAATTCCACCTTTCTAGTCATTGTAAGCTACTATGTGTAAAAACTCGCTCCCATAAACCCTTCATAGGTAGTCAGCCTACTGGAACCTACCAAGAACTGCACAAAAGCCACAATGCTGAAAGCCACATGGTTTGTACCAAGTCATCCGTGAAAGATAATAATTTCTGTAAAGACTTCTTGCACTAAGTACAGCTTAAAGTAAAACAGTGTGACTATGACAGATACCAGTGGCAAACTACTACTCTTCACTGTCTGCAGACCCAAATCACAGACAAATTAATCGCAAAGTAGTTGATGAGACACTCAAATAGGTATTTCTTTGTGAAAACGTATTTGTCAATGCAAAAACCTAACAAGCTAACAAAACCCCTTAAAACAGAACAGCTTCCATGCCTGAATGCAATTCTCAGAGTTAAGAGGATACGCTGAAAACAATGCCTGGTGAATGGAAGGGCCTTGTTAGTGCACTGTTCTCCCTTCGAAGTCCCACTACAGGTTGTTGGTTCTGCATCTCTCTGCCTTGCTTGGCTTGTGCTGAAAAAAAAAAAAAGCATAAAAGAGTTTAGAGACAAAAACCCCATCTCAGATGGTTACCTAGCACAACCATTGCACTGGATGTGGCACAGCAGGATGAAGAATTATAACACATGTGTGTGTGTCATGATACAGATGGGTGCACACTACTACCAGACTCTGCACAGGGATACAGAATAATGTCAATGACAAGTAGAGGTGTGACTGCAGTAACATGACCATTGTTTATTTCAAAGGGCCTTAATTGTAATGAGAGGTGCTGTGTGCTACTACCATGTAAATATTACAACACCTTGCAACAGGGCCAAGGACGGCAGTAGGTGAGTGTCAACACAGGTGACCCTTAAAATTAGGTCAATCTCTAGAATACAATGTACTGGGTATGCCTACATGTCAGTCAAGTGCACTTCAAAACATGCCGAGCATCCCCAGAACTTACATGCAAGCACGTGCTCAGACAAACTTAGACTGAGCTCTGGAGTGGCAGAACCTGAGCGTGCTCAACATGGGTAAAAGCTCTCCTTCATCAATATGCTACAGCCCAATCCACCAGCAGGTGCCCGGAGCTAAGCGCTTCCTCAGCACAGCCTCAATGCTCTGAGCCTGAGCTGCAAGCAGGCGACCAGACAGCAGTGTGGATGAGTACTGCAAGCGTTACACAGCTCGCTTGGTGTTAGCCTGCTCTCGAGGCGTTTGTCACCTTCATGTAGATAAAGCTGGCAATTCCAGAGCTGACTTTCACCTCTGTACACGTTGTTTTCTAGGTTGACAAAAAGCTGTCTGTAGCCTGACTGTTCTCCTTCAGCCATTTCTGTCACTGACTGCACTTTGACTGAGCAACGTTTTAGTTAGTAATACTACTCCTGTGAAAAATTTCATAATTGAAAAGACTCTGTGGTTACTTAAATTAACCGGAGCAGTGATGACAGGCATACCTGGCTTTGCCAGTCTGCCCAAAACAACAAGATCTTTTTTTGCATAATAAAAGGCAGAAATAATGGAAAAAAAAAAAATAGCAAGAGCTTGCCAGTTCTGGCAAGGTTTTGCTGCAGTTTAAGTTTGGAGACATTTACACACCTTCCTAAAGCAGTAATGTACCTCTACAATACACCTCTGAGAAGCTCTTCAGCATCACTCCACCTCCCCAACAATAAACCCCCCCAACCTGTCATGAACCACAGCCCACTGTCCAGGAACAAAAGCATCCCATAAGCAGAATATACTCTCAGTACCCTGCTCCAGCCTGCCTCTCATGCTAGCCCTCCCTACCCCCCCGCCCCAATCACACATCCTGTAAAGCAAAACCACAACAGCAAAAGGATGCTGCTGATACTCCAGACATAATGCCAGGGTTCAGACTTACTCTGTTCCTGCACAAATATGAATCAACCAACTCTCAATATGCTGAGAGCTGGAGGGATGTTGACATTATCTAGAAAGAATTCCCACAGAAGGTAACCTTCAGAGTTGTTACAAGATATTTATTTTGTTGTCAAGTTTCATTTAATGTTAGATTGAGTTAAATCTAACAGAAAGAATGAGCTTAAGTTTGATTTGCTGGGAAGATAATTAAGAGGAGGTACAGTGTTTTCAAAAAAAGCTGTTTGAAAAACAAAACCTGAATTGAAGCAGTGAACTGCAGACCAGACTGCACACCTTTTAAAGAACTGGGCTTAGTAAAGTACCAGGTATTTGAAGGCAGCCAAAATACACAAATCAATCAATAAATTTTCGCAGGCTGATAACTTATTTTGTGACTTTTAAGAAATAGGGCCCAGATACTGATGAACAAACAATCCACATTTTAAAACACAAAGCTAGAGAATGCCTGTCTTCATGGAAAACACTGTATGCCATGTTTATTTTACTCCACTGACAGGCACTTACATGTCACATTTTTTCTGCCTTGTGCATGCCTACCAGTTTCAGAGTTCAGCATTTGAGCTGCTGGATACTCTGCCCATCTCCACCCTGTCCAGACCCCAGGTTACTGCAGTCACAAGAGAAGGTCTAACCTGGTACGAGCACACGTAGCTCTTCGGAGTTCTTGTATCAGTTGCCCAGCACGCTCCGGCTCTCTGCTGGCCACCTGCAGCAAGGCTTTCCGGAGTGTATGCCGGCACTTCTTCTGACGAGATTCTGCCCGCTCCAGGCGGCAGAGGTGCTTGTATTTCTGCTGAAAGTAAGTGCAAAGTCTGGTCACCCTGGAACTCCTGTCATCTGCATTGTCATCATCGGACCTGAAAGAGGGAAAATAAATACAAATGAGCTTTAAGTAATTTTTTTTAAAGGAAGAGAATTTGTCATTTTAATAGAGTTTTAAGTTGGTATCCATCTTCGAGCCCCACAAACATCCAAAGGCTGAAATCAGGCAGGGATGCTTGAGAAATGGTAAGAGCAGGATTCCTTTTGAATTCAAAGGGTAGTTACCCTTCTTAGTATGTCATTATTAGAGATTACATCAATTTATCATCAAGTCTGACACATTTAAATGTCTGGAGCCTGCTGTTCAAAAAAAAAATCTATACTGTTAACCTTTATTTACTGTAAATGTCTCAGCAAATGAGACAAACTCTTAAATCAAAGTGCAATTAATAGAGAGGACAAGAGTGGGGAACTATGTAGTGGAAATTTATTGAAGAAAGGTCATGCTGGAGACGATGGTCAAATTCTAACAAGTACCAAAACTGCTGACTTTTTCCAATTCCTTTTACTCTGCCAGGTGGTGCATTCCTTTCTAAACCAAAACACACTCTCTCACAATCAGCAGTTGATACTGCTTTCCCCTTGCTGCAGAGTTAAAGTTGAGTTACAGTAGAGCTGTGGAGAAGAAATTCACATTTAACTCCAAAGGTACTGAGGGAAAAATCAGACCAGGGCTAAGCAATGACCAAATGAAGGACCGATCCAATTCTTCATTTGCTTAAGAAAGCCTTTTCCCATTTATCTTGGCTTTCTGAATGTCCTGGCACATATCAACAAGACCATCAAGCCATGTCAACATATTCAGTTAAATGAAGTAAAAATCGTGAAACATAAAATCATCACTGGAACTTACTAAAACAAAGTGCATGAAACTACCCAGAAGTCCTCCACAACAAGCACTAGTTAACAGAATGATTTTTTGTTCATGGAGCAACAAGGAGCACTGAGTCTAAGCAAAGGAGACTTTGTTCAATTTCTCCTTTAAGTTTTTCCTTATAGAACAGAGAAACTTTTTCCTAGCTTTCCTATCTGTAAAACAAAGGAAGGGCAGGGGGAAGAAAACATGTCCAAAAAAATGACGCAAATCAAAAGCTCCCAAGGTTCAGACTGCAGAGCTTGGCCAGCAAGACTGAATGAGCTGACATCCAAACCTGCACACAGCAAAGTGGACCACAACCAGCTGATGACTAAAGAGATGTAAAATACCAGCCATTATTTTTACTAAATAAAGTAAGATCCAGAAATGCAAGCAGAACAGTTGTCCCTGAAAGGCAATAGGACTACGACCTACTTTCCTTTCTGGAAACTCTTATTCCATTCACATGCAGGCCAAATTTAAGAGACTGCATCCATATCCACTAAGGCTGCCCACAAAAAAACGCAGGAGCAAACACTGCCTAGACATATGTAAAGTCAAACATACTATGTATTTTGTTTGTTAAAACAGACTACAGATTATTTTCTAGAAGCACAAATTACAAGTAATTAACCTCTGCAATTAAATGCTTAGCAGCAAATACAACCTGTTAAAAATATTTAACATATGTAATGTTTCAAATATTTTCACATTGAAAATTAAAAGAAAATACACTTTTAAGATCTCTTAGGAAAGAATGTCTACTGGGAAAAACAACCCATTTAGAAAAATTTGTGTGCTATTTAATATAAATTTCCAATGTATTTATGGAAAACAAGAATACATAGATGCCATCAGTTACATACAGTTAGGTTTAAGGTCTTAGATAGTTCATTACTGCTCTGGGCCAAGATTTTTAAAAGAAGTTGCAGATATACTGACAATTATAAATATGGTTACAAATTAACATTAAGGAAAGACGGGTATTCCTTATGGGGAAAAAAAAAAAGTGTTTCTTTTGGGTGGAAGGTGTATATTTTAATGCAAATGTCTATGTATTTGAGACTTTTTACTTCCCTCACGTTGAAATAGACAGAAAAAACTCACTGTATGTTAAAATATTTAATCTAATAATCTCAGGTTTATGAGGTAATTTTTAAAAAGTAGATGAAGACATGTATACAAGATATGGAAAGAAATCATGCCTGCAGTGGACAGCGGCTTATTTTCATAGATCATAGAACGGTTTGGGTTGGAAGGGACCTTAAAGATCATCCAGTTCCAACCCCCCTGCCACGGGCAGGGGCACCTTCCACTAGACCAGGTTGCCCAAAGCCCCGTCCAACCTGGCCTTGAACCCTTCCAGGGAGGGGGCAGCCACAGCTGCTCTGGGCACCCTGGGCCAGTGTCTCACCACCCTCACAGGAAAGAATTTATTCCTTATATCTAATCTAATCTACCCTCTATCAGTTTAAAACTGTTACCCCTTGTCCTATCCCTACACTCCATGATAAAGAGTCCCTCCCCAGCTTTCCTCTAGCCCCTTTAAGTACTGGGAGGCCCCTATAGGGTCTCCCTGGAGCCTTCTCTTCTCCAGGCTGAGCAACCCCAAATCGCTCAGCCTGTCTTCTTAAGGGAGGTGCTCCAGCTCCCTGATCATCTTCATGGCCTCCTGTGGACCTGCTTGAGCAGGTCCATGTCCTTCTTATGTTGGTGGCCCCAAAGCTGGACACAGAACTCTAGGTTGGGGTCTCACAAAAGCAGAGTAGAGGGGAAGAATCCCACACTTCTCTTGAGGCAGCCCAGGATAGGGTTGGCTTTCTGGGCTGTGAGGGCACATTGCTGGCTCATAGTCAGTTTTCCATCCACTAATACCTCCAAGTCCTCCACAGGGCTGCTCTCAACCCACTCATTGCCCAGCCTGCATTTGTGCTTGGGATTGCCCTGACCCACATGCAGGACCTTGCACTTGGCCTTGCTGAACTTCATGAGGTTTGCCCGGGCCCACCTCTCCAGCCTCTCCAGGTCCTCTGGATGGCATCCCCCCCCTCCAGCGTGTCATCCGCACCACACAGCTAGGTGTTGTTGGCAAACTTGATGAGGGTGCACTTGATCCCACTGTCCATGTCACCAACAAAGATGTTAGACAGCACCAGTCCCAACACCAAACCCTGAGGAACACCACTTGTTACTGTTGTCCACTTGGACATCGCGCCATTGACCACCACTCAGAGCAAGACCATCCAGCCAATTTCTTACCCACCATATGGTCCATCCATCAAATCCATGCCTCTCCAATTTAGAGACAAGGATTTGTGTGGGATGGTGTCAAATGCAATTCTGAGGCAAACCATTTCTAAAAGCCTATTCAGGATTTTGTTTCCAGTCCAGTAAGATTAGCCAAAACATATTTATATGTTCAAAGAAACCTAAAAATATCACAATAACACCTCCTTCTTTTTCACTAGGCAAGTACTGGAATTGAAAGGTAGTTTTATTGTTGTCCTTTCATAAACAAGTTTACCAAATTCTATTTAGTTTATTCTCTTAAGCTGCATATATAACTTCTGAAGTTCAACTTACTGCGTGGCATTTCATTTTTCAAAGATTTCTGAAAGTGCATGCAAACCATTTGATAATCCAAAATGCTTCTTCCTTTTAAGATTGTGATATGCAAACACCAGGGGAATTATCGCTATGTGTTCATGAAGAAAACAAAGGCAGCACAAAGCAGCAGAAAGGAAGAGCAAAAGGGTAGCACGAGAATCCAGACACCAACAGGGATCCAGGAAAACATGCTCTCTACTCTGATACACCCCAGCAACTATACTTCAAATCCCTCTGTAAGGAGGGATTTGAAGAACCTTCCCTTCTTCCTTTTAGTTCTTCTAGTTATTGGGAGTTATTAAATCCAACTTTGACAATACAGTGTTGATAACTGCTCCTTTGAGTAAGCTGGTACAAGGAGGGACTCCAATCCTCACACTCCCTTTTCAAACTCACTACTTGAAATACTCACTTTTTATGTATTTCAGCATAGGAAGTGAAAAACTACTTTTTTTTAAAAGCCAGCTATTTTCCAGTACTTTCTAAACTACAAAACCCAGTAATGAAATCACTAATCTGTGATCATGGATCAGCATGGATCAGCTCCTGTGTTCCCCCCAAACTACCGCTCCCATAAGGAATTTCTCCCCACTCCAGCAGCCTGCACTATGCCCACTCCCAATTCCTCTGCTACGATTTGAACTCAAACATTTCTGCCTACCTCAAAGTGCTGCATCCTGGAGTCCTGCAACCACAGGAACCCAAATTTTCAAAATTAAAGGATAGAATAATAAAAGCAAACATTCAGCCAGTGTTTCCACAGATGATTACAACAATATGAATTTTACAGTTAAAAGGCCAGAATGTAAGCAAACTCAAAAATGTATTCCTGTTAAGACATTAATTTTAAACCAATCTGGTGAACTTTTGAGAATTTAAGAGCAGCTAGAGTATCACACAAGAAGTTCAACAGAAAGTTAGAGTATTCCCCCCACAATCACAGAATCAGTAATGCTGAGAACAAGCTGTCCAGTAAGCAGAAATTTACTGTTTGTTTTCTTTCACTAATCTGTTCTGAGAAGCAACCCTCCTGCTGTCTTCCACAGAGTCAAATGGAAACGACAGAATGGAGTTAGCTGGTGGACAGTCATCCCTTTCACACAGGGATCACAAGCTCAGACACAAATGAACAGAGAAAAAAAAGCTTTAATTTTACTATGAAAAACATTAAGTAAATTCCTCTAAATTTAGGTATGTGATTTCAGAATCTAAAGGTTTTGAGAAACAATCTCCTTTGGCTTTCTGGTAAAATTAGCCTCCAAAATTCAGAGCCATAACAAGTCATTGGCTGACTATGTTAGGAGCCACTAGTCTGCACCACCAGATGAGCAATACAGACCACATTGCAGAAGTGTCAAAGTGAAACATTTCAGGTAATGAAAACCTCTACAGAGGCATGCAGAATATGAATTAAAGTTTTAGAAGGCTGACATCAAGTGAATGTATCAATGTTTATTCATAAAAAAAACTGAGGAAGGTTGTTGAAGAGCTAACACTGGGCAGGCTGATGAAAGTACTAAAGTAGCCAGTACCATACAAAAATTTTTCCATGATTAGTTATGACAGTATTTAATTGAAGTGCATAAAATGCTAGAATGGAACAGAAAATTCAAGACAAGGTATTATTTTCTCTCAGATGTGAAAAAGAGAAGAATCCAAAGGAAGTTAAGACAAATATAAGACAAAACACACAGAGATGACCTTTATAAGTTGACAAAAAAATAGGGATCTATGGAAAGAACCAGATCAAATGTCAAGAGAGGAGAATATAAGTAAAGTTATTTAATAGATATATCTGCTTTGAAAATTATGTATGATTTAAAAGTGTGAAAGTCTGTTCATGTTTTCTCAAAACAGTTTATTTAAAAGTTGCCTTTCAAGTTAAAACTAATGTTTGTGAAAGCTCACTCTCTCTCTCTGACCACTGATGCCCTAAAAAACAATGGTCATTCATAACAGAAAAAGCACTTTCATTTTAAAAAGGAAAGTCTACACACTGCTATTATGCTTTGATTCACTGAAGGCTCTCAGTATTTAGTATCTAGTGTCTGCCCTGATGACAGAGATATAGCTTTGTTATTCGCCTGTGGACAATCTTTAGAGATGGTAAGAAGATCTGGTGAGTTTCAGAATCTCCGTGTAACAACAAAATAATGTTTCATCATCTTCACTACTCTAACTGTGATATTTTAAAATTAAACAAATGGGAAAGAGTTGTAGTATCAAGAAGTCCGGTTGCATAGTGAAAGAGAATCACATTAAAGAAACTATAATCAAAATTTATTGAGACCCTAATTTCCTTTTCTTATTAACATGCTTCAGTTTCATTACAATATTATGCTTGGGATGCTTGGTTTTAACTTTGCACCTTGAATTTTACAGCAGTAGACATATATTATCATATCCTGCTGTGAGTTCAGATTCATGACTTAGCAGTATATGGAGAACACCGTAAGCCTTTCTGCACCAGCAGCTAATACCTGCTCTGCTTATCCCTTCAATCACATCAGTTCCTCTCAATGCTCCCAACTATTTGACAGAGAATTATTCAACACTTAATTATGAAAATAAATGCAGTGGCCTTTAAAAAAAACACGTTAAAACAACATCCTGCACAATTACTATAAGGATTAATGAGTAAAATATACCAAGTTTACTAACAAAGTTATTCACAAATACTAGGAAAGACAAGAGACCAATAGCAACTCCCTTTGATTCTAATTGAGGAAATACCTCTACTTAGAAAGGCACACAAGTTCATGAATAAATCCCACTAAACTCAATCAAATTTAGACAAATAAGCTTTAATTCTTTCCTGATGCATCCTTCTGATAGCAGACTGCACAAAAGTCTCTAAGTTAGGTGGAAACTGGGACAGAAGGCGACAAGCTGTTTCATAGCTCTTAGAAACAAACGAGTTCAAACAACCCTTTGTTTCAGCAAAGCACTCGAGCAAGTGCTTAGGTTCCACTGACTTCACTTGAAGTGAAGCTCACATTTACATGATTTATTCCATCAAGGCCAGCATGAATACTAAAGAATCATACTCACTCATGTCTCTCATAGCCGAGGGTTTCTCGGATAGACCACGCAACCTGGTAAGGGGAGGTCTGCTCTGAATCCTCCAACTCTTCTCCACTGTCTTCAGACCAATCCAGACCTAAGGGAATTGAAAACATGAAAGCTGGATGAAAAGTGTATCCACCTCATATAAGTCTCTGAGCAACCTATGGCACAAAAGATGAATGCACAGTATAGTCACAAGCATAATTATGTTTGATTAAATCATATAATATTCTCAGTTACACGGGAAAATTTACAGTAACAGCTCCATTATAGTGTGCAAATAACATGCATTGATTTTTGTCAAATTTTAGCTTTCCTTTTAAAATCCCTATTGGCTTCTTTACCTATAAGCAGTGGAAGAAAAATCACCAGCTTCCTTACCCACAGAAAAATATCATAGTTTTCATACCAAGCACATGGAATCTTTAGAGAAGAGGTAAGAGAGAAGTCCCTGACATGAAGAACTGACTGTCTGGTAATTTTTAATACTATATGATCTAAATAGGTCGCTTCCATTTCTGTTTATATTCTGACCCCTGCTCTGTGCCAAAACACAGGGAGAATAGGAAAACCGTAAGACAGAGCAGCATGGACAGACAGATACACAGCTACACAGGATGTTCTTCTGCTCAGTCTCTGTAATTGCCTGCCAAATGCATATATTAGCATGAAAAGAGAGCTAAAGGGAGAGATGCAAATACTCCTGCACTTTTACTAAGCAGCATGCCTTCCCTTGATGATGATGCAGTAGCATCAATTTATTGTATGCACCAGCAATCTGTTAGCCAAGCTAAACACCATCGTTGAACAGGACAGCCAGAAACTGAGTCCAATGAGTTCTCAGGTGGAACGTTTTATCTGGAGTTCCATCTTTTGCAGTTTTTCTTACTCCCTCTCCCACATCCAGTGAAATTCTTGCCAATTCCTTGCAGTAGGTGGGATAAAATTAAGATATCTTAAGATACTTGATAAAATGCCAGAATTATACTTTCAACTTAAATGGTTTTCTTACTCTCATCCCTTCCATAAAGGAATAAAAAAACCAACTTAATCATTGGATAAAGGTGTCTACAATTGGTGCCATGTAACAAATTATTTACTGAAGGTTTAAAAATAAAATCAGAGGTTGCACTGTTTTGCTTCTAATGGGCACTGCAGAAAAGAAGGAATAAAATCTAATTCAGATTCAGCTATACTCACACTGAAGACTGCAGCTACTTTAATATCCAATTACATAGCTCTGATGTAGGTACACATAAAACAGGCTGCATCTAGATTTTGTGCAGTCATCTCTAGTGTTACTCTATCATAAAAAAGAAATCCTGAAATTCTCTGAACTGGCATAACTAGTCTTTCATATTAAGGCATTTTATGAATAAATAACAAATATATTTTCTACTCTCACATAATTAATATGTGAATTCCATTACTTTGCCGAATATAAAATGTTCTAATTGCATACATATACGCTTATGTATTTGCATAACTGTACATTTATAGGTCTAATCAGGTTTTTTACTATGCCTCATTTTTAGGAAAATGTATTCTCTTCACCACTTGAGAATGTAAAACATTAAACACAGAAAGTGATCTTTCTACAGTCTTTCAAAACGCAGGTCACTTTCTAAGCTATTGGGGTCTGTGACACTCAAAAGTGCCTCCGGAGTTGCCATTCCTCAAAAGACCTGCATTATATATAGGACCATCAAAGCGGTTTTCTGATGAACAACGTCCTTTGGAGACATGCTATGGGATGCTAATTATCTTCTGAACAAATAGTCAAGCTATCCCATGAGTGCCAAAGGGCAGATCTTAACAGCAAATTTAAAAAAGGTTAATTGAAATAGCAAAAATTACAGATGTTTGCAATTAAATAAAATGTTATATGAAGAACGTCCAAATTTATTTGAAGTTTTTTTTTCCTTTTTTTAAACACCGTAAATGGCATTCCTGCTTTAATATCACACATTGACTCCAGTTGCCCTTTTCCCTGTCAGTATTTTACTTGTTAGAAAAGTACAGTCTAAAACTACGCAGAAAAGTAAGGTAACTTCAGAGGGTAAGGGAGTTAACAAGGATAGCTAGGTCTACCTAGGTCTGTATTCATAGCCAGACAAATAAGCCACAAAGCTGCCTTTTTAAAGCTTTACAGAGCACTACAACCATTGCAGCAAGTTGGTTCTATTTACTTACATTTTCACAAGCAGTAATTGATTATTAGGGTTTCTAGATAATAAGTAAGGAGGAGGCTATTCCTGCACTGGTATGTGGACAAGAGTCCACCCCCTCCAGTTACCTTCTGTAATGGTGCTGCCCACCTGCAGTAGTTTTTTGCTTTTGGTCATCCACATTCTGTACACAAACAGGCCCAGTCAAGAGCAGTTCTCTTGTGCTCCACTTTTCCCAGTCAAGTCAACTGGAAATCTGGATCTCCTGAGAAGGATGGGCCAAATCTCCAAATTTTTACTTGCACTCATTTTGTAACATGCACTTGTCACATAGCTAACATTCAACCTAACCTTGTCCACTCACATAGGTACAGCTGGCACCACATTTACTCCCTGAGTTGCAAACCTTCTGTACGATGTCTGTATCATCCAAACAACATTCCCTACACTTCAGTTTCATTTCTCAAATGGTTAACAGAACATTAAGAAGAACAAACAAAATGCCATAAACCATAATGTGATGGGTCCAGGCACTCCCTTCATAGAGAACAGGGCTAAAGAAAACACCAAACGATGACCTAGTTCAGGGTTATTTTGTAAGTACCACACATGAATGCAGGACAGGGGTAGGAAAACATTCCCCTTTCATCTTTCGGTTTCAGGCTGAAAAATAAGGTAGCAGTGCATCTATTATCTACCCACCTAAATGCGGAAACAGATCAGTGTCCAGCTGCTGTTTTCGAGTGCACAGTTTCACCAGTCTCTGTAGCCGGCTCATGCAGGACGAGTGAGGAGAGAAGGCTGTGGCTTTCATGAGGACCCGATCAGTCCTTGGAGGGTCCGTGACAGGAGCCCTAGCGGGTGGCAGGAGGGGCAGAGGTCTCTTGTTAGACAACTGCCGGGCTTGTGCTATAGTGTGTGTGGTGGGTGCCACTCCCTGCATTGGTAGGCTGGTGTTCGGAGGTTGAGGTGACTTGCAGACTATGCCCTGCGGTAGCCCTGTCGGCTTTAACGAAGCTGATGAAGGTGGCAGATGGGAGTGCTGCTGCTGCAGAGGCTGCTGCTGCAAAGGTGCAGGAAGGGGGCTAAAGTGCTCTTGGCGAACTTTTAAAATCTCTGTCTCTCTCTGGCGCTGCCGGTTTTGAGCCAACTTGCTCTGCAACTTTTTCCTCACTGTTGCCCCTTTCTTTAGGTCATCATCCTCCTCGTTGAAAGCAAAGGGGTCTTCTAATTCTGCCTCCAGGTAGTGGAGAGGAAGCCTAGCCCCTGGAGGGGAGAGGGACATCCCATCCAATCCATTGGGCATCTTCAAGGCCAGGGTGGGCACTGTCAGACTGAAGGCCATAGCATCCATCTGATGCCTGACCTTTACCTCCTCTATGGGATCATTCTTTTTCTTCCTCTCCTTTTTCGGTATAAAGCCAAGTACCTGCAGGTGGCTGTTGCAGTACCTTTGAAAAGTAAAAGCAGTCAGTTATTAACTCTTGTAAGTAAAATCTGAAGAAAACAGACATTACTAAACGGAAACCCACATGCACCCATCTCATGAGAATATAGTTCAAAACACAAGAGGTTTTATAAGTGTACACAACTGCTTCTAATACAACAGATAACTACAGTGTTCCCAACCTGTAACAGAAAACAAAAACTTATACAAGTGACAATTTGTAATCTTAAAATATAACTGCCTTCATTCGTTATTCAAAGGAGAATCACACACCACCATGCAAAATATTTACTAATAGGGTAAATCCAAAACAAAGTGAACAAAACAAATAGACTGTCTGATACATAAACCAGTAAGAACTCAAGCCATTAACTCTGATCATTTCAACATTTCCCAAGAAAAAATACATTGAAGACTACTTCCTTTCATTTGGCTGTACTTTCACTGAAAGTAGCTAACATTTTCATCAGTGCACGCATTACTATTATTATAAATTCCATTGTATTAGGGAGCAGTTTCTTATATGGACAATCTCACTAGAGATGCCTCTTGAGAAGGGTCACTATTTGCACTTAATGAACAATTAACATAAATATTTAAATTCTGTTTTAGTAGTTTAGCATGATGAATTTTGTAGCTGGAGGGTTAGCTGAATGTTCTTCAAATAAAAATCTAGCTTAGAAGAAATTCTCTGCTGCTAGAAAATGTTTACGCAATGCCAGGATTATGTATACATACAATCCGCAAACATGGGCTTTAAACTCTTCTAATGTAAAAAAAAAAAAAAAGCTTCTGAAATCATGTTATTAAAAAAAGGAAAAGGAAAAAAGTCTTTGAAAGTTTGTCATTAAAATTAAAAGAAAAAGAGTTATGGCCACAGATAACATACTAAGAAGTAAACAATTTTGTTTTGTGATTAAAACAAGCAGGTGATAGAAATGTAGGAACCATAATCTGATCCTTTTCCTGTTTCCTGTTTCACAGAAAAAATGCCACCAGCAATCAGACTTCTGCCCGTGCAGGATTCCATCTATAACCTGCAGCTTACAGATTAAAATAAAGATATGAGGAAAGAGTGATACCTACATTGAGGTATTTATGGACAAGATAAGGAAATATTTATGAAGGTATTCTTTAAAATCTGACCAGTATGAATCTGAGAAAAGTATGTTTTGTTATTCTTGGTCTTCATGAAGAAAAAACAGCAGAAAAGCCCAAAACTTCAGTTTTGATCCACCCCCCTAAAGAAGCAATGTGTGAACCACTCATAAAATGTCCATAAAAGGTAAAAAAGAAAAAGCAAATTCATATATGCTCCTTAATGATCTCCAAATATGTAGTTTCTCAAGGGATCTACAGCCATAGGATTCAAAAATCAGAAAAGGCTAAAAAGTACTGCTACTTATTATTGCCTAAATAATTTCTTTTATTACATTAAATTGTAAGTAATAAATAAATCTAGATGAGGCAAGCTGAAAGCCAGCAACATGTCGAGTCCTTACTAGAACACACTGGAATACTGTAAATTCATACTGAGAAATGCACTTCTAAAAATAAAATTATATAATGAGGGATCAATAAAGCTTCCCTTAAAGTCAACATCATTATTCCCATAATTAAAATTAAGCACTTGTAAAATATTTTGTTTGAACAAGACTGAGATCACTTACAACAGCACTTTTAGTATAACAGAACAAAACCAATAAATAGACAAAACAAACACCAGGGATTTTTTTCCCCCCTCTTCTTCCAATAAAAAGAGTTGTGCTCAATATGAATGCTTCCCTTATATTGTTCTGAACTTAAATATTGCCACCTTGTGCTTGTGCTGACGTGAGAAGTTAAACTGGCTAGTCTGTTTTCATTGTGAAAAACAAAGTGAAAGCAAAAAAAAAGGTGAATAAAACTATGAAAAGGTAATAAGCTTGCTAACATGCTCTCAGTTTTAGGCTGTTATGGGTTTTGCTTGTTCACTTAACTCCAACAGAATCATTTTTATATGGCAGAGAATAAAGCTTTGGCTCTTATAACTGACCATACTGCATCACTGAAAGCCAACTGTATCTAATGCAGACACTACCCCTGGACACAAATCCATAGATAATGAAAATACAGATCACATGCACTTGCAGACTCCAGTACACACTGACGTGGCTCTGTGCTTCAAGTTCTGTCTATCAACTCCCTGTCTTCCAGCATAACTGAGGCTGATACCCCTTGGACTGGAAGGAGCAAGAAGAAACTAGAAAGAGCACCTAAGTCTTCCCTGGGTAGAGAAGACTACATGCAGGCAGTTTTGGCTAGACATAATTTATTAGCACCAACTCAACCTTGGCCTTCGTAGGCTCTAGCTAGTCCCCCATGGAGCCAGGCAGGCACACACACCCATTTCCCCATCCTTCCAGTTCTAGGATGGCTTTTTAGTTGGTCCTGGCTCAAACTGTCCCTGACTATGTGGTGCAGACATTAACTAACTCTGTGAGAACCAGTCTATAATCAGCTGAGTTAAGGCAATAAACTCTTCAGATAGGATGTAAAGACCAGGGAAGGCATGAGCAGTTCATGCTCCATGGCAGACTGATTACCGGGAAGACTGCAATAGCACCTACAAGTAGCACAGTCCTTTCACATAGCTCTGAGCATGAAACCCGCTAGGGTCAAGCTGGCCCTACAAGAGCCAATTCTGATGTGCCTGTGTGAGTGGCTAGATTTGTCACTTCTATAACCTGCTTGTGAGTTACTCGCAGCTGACTCCCCTTCCTCACTCGGTGCCAAAGGCACTTATCCTGTGCAGGTGAGACTGAGTGCAGTCAGCACATACGGTAAGAGTGGCGGGTTGAGATCCATGAAAACTACCATAACATAAAGCACACAAAAGGTGACGGGCTCTGAAGGCTTCAGCTGGACAGTTTCCAAGAATCCAGACAGCAAGGTTTCCCACCTACAACTGCGTTCTGTTTCCCAGTACATCCCAGACTGGTATTAAGTTCTATCACTTATTTAAAGGAAGGTCCAAATAAACTGGAGAGCATCTTGCATATTAACGAAATATTTAAAGAGTCTATTCAAAGAGGAGAATTAGAGATAAAATGGTGTTTAACCCAGCTAAATTGTAATAACCTTGTATTTAATTTTTAAGTTGAACTTCATTATCTATATGTGTATTTGGATAAGAAAGGAGACACATATTCAGAGGAAAAGCAAATACAAAACCCATGTCTGTATCATCCCATATATATTCTTAATAAAACCAAGACACTGAATAGAGAAACTAGAGTTCGTGTAAGGCAATGAAGTCATGCACTATTAATAGATTTAATTTGTAGAATGTTAATGGTTAATAAGAAATCTAATAATATGGCAGCATATTAAATATCTTTGTGGCTGGTAACTTCTCATTTGTCTGGGGTCAAGTGATAATTTTTTAAATTATCTGTGGACAGACTATGAAGCTTTTGGCATATAATGCATGCATCCTGTTTTTATTTTCTTTTTTATAATCTTTAGAAGTAGATAAGAAGATAGCTGTCAGAGCATCATACAGGCTGCTTCCGATCATGTACAGTTACATGTCTAAAACTGTGACAAAATGACCATCTGACAGTAATTTTGTACACAGAAAATTAAAATCTACAAGTGAAGAGCTCAGACATAGCAAACATCTTTATATCGAACGGAGTGTGAAAAAAGTCTCCTAAGAAACAGATACAGGTTTGCCTGCCAAAAAAAAAAAAAGTTTAGAGCAGGCACAGTCTTATCACTAGCATTCATTATATTTTATTGTTAAAATTAAACTCTGCCCTGAGAAGCAGTCTTTTAAAATATTCTTTCAAACTATCACATCCTCTCATTTGAAATTAAAAGTTTATTTTCTCCTTCAGACACCTGCTGTCCTCTTCAAGTACTGTAATGCGACACTCGACATGCAATTGAATTATTCTAATATAACATACACCAGATGTCATGACCACACTTCACTTTAACTTGAGAAAAATCAAGAAGAACAAAGTGTGAACTCAATTCAAGGTGTAAAGAAAAATCTCAAATTCCATGGGAACATATGAGACCTAAAAACGTGTCATTAAGTACTCTTATTTCTATTGTTTTTAAGTGTGACCCCTGGTAAACAGTAACTCTGGCTCAGTCAGCTCTTACATCTGAAATTACAGCATACCATTTACACTAACAATTTCCATGATCATTTCTGCGAGCTTATTTCCAAAGAGCCTCAATTGTACAGTAGCAAAGAAACAGTCACCGACTGTCAAATTACAGCTTAAAGTTATTCATCTTGTGGCATTTGAGCATTTGCCCTACAGCTTTTGACAAACATTCATGTTTTTTTCTCACTTCATCAGTCTCCTCAACTGAAATGGCAGGTGAAGTGCAAGTTAATTTAGAGCACAGTCCAACTGTTGTTTCAGACAAGAGAGGGAGCTGTGAGCTGAGAAGGAAGTTTTATGTAGGGCACAGTGGGAACACTGCTAATAATGCAAAAGGTTAGTGAATGGCAGCTAATAATGTGAAAGGTCAGTAAATAGTGGTTTGATTCTTTTTTGGCAGATTTTGTTTATATTTTATGTTTAAAAAATAGTTTCTAACAGAACAAGCTTCAGATAGTTAACAAACATATTAATTAAATACTGTGTTAATGGCAAAACCTGCAACAATGACTCTGAAAAATTAAAGTCATATATACATGGCAGCTAAGATTAGACAAATTCTGCTATTTCAGTCCAAGTGACACCAATGAGATTGGTCTTCAGAAGGTCTTAAAGAGCAAGAATTTCCTTGTGGCTACAGTATGGGCTGCAATTCAGGAAATCTGGTTTGAATTCCCAGCTCTCCAACAACTTCAAGCCCTAATTCTTGCAAGGCATTTAATATCTGGGCACCTTGGGCATCTTCATTTGTGCCGGGAGGGGGAGAGGAAGGGGGGAAGCAAAGGAGAAAGGGACTGGACAGCACTTTCCCAGCTGGCTCATCTGTTATAAAGCAGTATTTATTTTATTCCAGTAATACAACACTACAGATCAGTACCAAATCACAACCACCGAACTGTAATTCTGGATTCATTCCTATGTGTCACTGCTCACTAAGGCCAGAAGGTATGTATTTTCAACTGTTTGTCCTGAAAAAGAAAATGGAAGTGTGCTTTTGGCACAGCTGGCCAAACAAGCAGGCCTTTTTAAGACCATGTACTGTGAGCAACAAAGCAAATTAATTAGAACAGCAGGTACTGTATAGCAGGTTTGGTGCACAGTTTATAGTGAATTTGAGAAAAGCAATCAACTCTCCTGAAAACTTCCTTGGCAGTAAGTTACTGCCCCCTTTCTGAGTACTTGACTCCAACTGAAAATAAAATAAAGTTTACCAGTGTTAAAACAAAACCCTCAAAGGAACATTCTGGAATTCAATCCACTCAGGCCACTTTCTCCCTCATTCTGAAACCAGGCAGCATTTTAAAACAAAACTCATGTCTATGTCCCAGCCACTTCCCACTTTGTAGATGGGTAACAACTCACCTACGGTCCTCAGATTTGGGGATGGGGTTGGTGCAGCGTTGGCTGTTATACTTGGCCACATATTCACATTGCTTGAAGGGGGCAGTCTTGTCCTCCAGAACGTGTCTGATACAGAAGGCGTAGCCGTTAAGTCGCCTCTGCTTGCACAGTTTGGGGCTATATGAGCACAAGGGCTTATTGTCAACCTCAGAGAAGTGTATGTGTTTGCCTTCATACATCACGTGACTCTATTCCTTGTGAACATCAGCTGAAAGAACCAAAATATTAAGACATATCACATAAGGAGAAAAAATGCATTCAGTTCTAGATTGTGTGTTTCATTCTGGCAGGAAAGAGGGATGCAAAACAATACCTGATTTTAAATCTTCTGTACCATATCAATGTTAAGAGAGAGCCCCAAGGACACCACTATCCTGGAATGATGATGATTCAAGATGAAGCAGATTGTCTAAGGAAAATATCAAAAAAGTCAAAGAAAATCAGAATAAAATAGATATTACTACTGCTTAATAAGTAAGTGGCCAGATGTAGCCACTAAAATCTGTGTTTCATCTAGCATCCAATAAGCCAAATCCACCAGTACTATAGTTTTCAATCAGTAGTCACAGATCTTTGGAAACCATGAAAGGAAATTATTGGGGGGGGGGGGGCAGGGCAGAATTCTATTGCCACCACACTTAAACCTGCTAAACAAAACTCCACTCATCTACCAGAAAGTGATTAGGAGCTACAAGCTGAAAAAAGGTTAAGCATCAGATAAGATCACTTGCTTTCAGGAATCCAGTTGAATGACGATTAACCCATTTGATTGCAGAGGTTCTACTTCAAGTATCTTTGCTTACAAAGATGCTGGTGACTATCCTTGCTATGTATAATTTTAATTTCATCAGGCAGTACAAGAAAGCTTTTTTTTAAAAAACAAAACAAAACAAAACAAAACTTTCTTTACCACACCTGATAAACAGTCTTCAGATCTTGTAGATGCCCACAGCTTCTGCAAGCATCAATATGCAGTCCTTCCTGAGGTCACCACAGTTCTTCAGAGCTTTTCCTACCTCATTGTACTTATTTTAGGTAAATGCAGGCATTAATAATATCAGAGGCAATACTCCCATTAATGTCAGGAGGGATGAAATGTCATTTCAGCAAGAGGCTGTTTTTTCTCCCCCTTAAAATAGACTCCTACAGTGCAAATCCATGCAATCGTAAGGCACTTTTTAATTTCACAATACTATGGAGTCTTTGGCAAGCATCTTTTAAAAAAAACTAACAAACATAAAAATTAAAAAAGAAAAATAACAACAAAACAACACCCCAAAGTACTTTCAAATAAAATTAACAGTACACATATTCTGCAGCTACTCTGCTACACTCAGCTTAGCCTAAACGGCAGCTTTTATTCATAAAGGCCATCCTGAAGCACTGGAATAAACTCTTTTGAACATGGTATATATTCAGTACTCAGTGCAGTTTCATATGTGTTATATACCAAGCAAAAGAATGTACATAGAGGTGATATTCAGGAAATATGTAATAAAGTAGAGGCATGTGACAAATGGTACCGATTAGCACCTCAATCAACTTACTTGTTCCCAAGGCCCAAAACAGCAAGAACACGATTGCAAGGAGGGAGCCTACACAGACTTTGCAGGAAAGATGAGTTTCTTCTTGTGAAGGTACAAGCTGTATAAAAGTGCCTTGAGAAAATGATAAGCACTATGGCACTGAGGGATCTCAAAAAACAACTTAAGTCACCAGGGCAAAACAAAACACCCTATCACATCTCTAACAGTAAACTGCATAAACCAGGCCTTTCATTAGCATATATCTAGCTGTAGAGCAGAAGGATAGAACCTTACTGAAAATTTAAAAACACACTTAAAATTCTTGGAACAGTTGTATATGTACACATGCAGCACACACAGCATACAGAATGGAGACACATGCTACAGAACGTAACTAGCACAAGTGACCTGATTAATCATTTGACAAGAATAAGGATCATTTTGTATTTCCTCTTTATAAACATAGTTCGTTTTCCATGCACACATGCAAGCACACACTGCGAGGGGCAGGGGCCTCACACTTTGTTCACACCAGATAGCCACAATACAAGCAGAGACATCTAATCATCTTTCCCAGCTTCTCTCAATGCAATATATGCAATATGCAAAGCATGTACTATATACATTTGAAACTAATCACTGGAGTACGACCCTTCACAAGGCATCACTCTTAAGAACAAAAAAGTTCATTGTTGGCTGTGTCCTTCAAAAACACAGAAGGGGAAGAGGGAACTATCATTTCTTTAGCATGCCAAGAACCAAATAATCCTTTCAGACACCTTTGTTAAGGTATATACTGACATCCATGTCAGTATTATCCAGCAACAATGTGAAAGAAAAACATAAATCCCATGGTGACACGTTCAATACAGGAGTTCTGATCTGAGTTTGAGTTATGTTTGAGAGAGAGCCTCCTCCCTTACTATAACAGCAAAACTAATCAAATGAGTCTTAACTAATTGCACCTCATACACACATCAAAGCTGACAGAAGGCCTTTTGCTCTGGAGTTTGCTTCTTTCAACAGTTAACCAAGGCTTGTATTTGGTTGCATACTGGACAGGATGAAAAACTAGAAAGAACAAGTACACCTTGCAGTTGGGGTAACATGCTGTTCTCTATTTCTCTTCGTTTTATTTACCACCTTCTTTAGGCTACTACTATGATGCTTTGCAGAGTTTTTGATGGATCAATGACCTTCTCCTCTTTTGCACAACCCAGCAATATTTCCTTTCTGAAGGTTATACAGCAACAGACCAAAGAAAAAGAGTTCCTCAGAACGGTTCCAAAGTAAACAGCGAGAAACATGTACCTGATGTGCCTCTGTTAAGCTTCTGTAAAGAAACTGCTCCACAGATCCCAGCCACTATAATCCTGGATTTATTCTTGTGCCCCCAGTCTTATTTCTGGATTTAACTCATAATTAAGTCTTATTTTTGCATTTAACATGACTGTGTCAAGGCAGGCACAGCATTTTACTTCTCACTTGTCTGAAAGATACAGGGCAGAAGTACAATGCCATATGAAACACTCAAGCAAAAATACTGACAAACCTTAGGGAAACCGATGAGCTTGAACATGAATTTTTGGGTCTATATATACACTAAGAGAAGCTCAGGCAAATATAACCATGTTCAAAATTCTGATAGAAATCAATTAGTGCAACGAACAAAAAGAAATCTAATATATCTAGCAGCCAATGTTATACAAACACCCCCCACACAGCAACTCCCTCAAACATACAATTATATCTTTATCGGTAGATCCCTACACAGACTCTCTAAAAAAGAGTGGCACTATGTGGACACACTGCCAGAATCAGAGACTAAAGTTGTACTTAATCTAAAAAGAGCTTTTTGGTCTTACTTCCATAGAATACCAGATATATTTTTATTTATATATATATCTATATATGTATATATAAAAACAGAAAATACTTTTAAATCTACTGATTCTGATTTAATCTGATGCAATATTTTATTTTAAACAAAATATACAGAAGTTCTTAACAGAGCTTTTTGCTGCTACGTAAAAAGTAGCACAAGCATGGAATAGGCACATGTCACTTAACTGAAGAGAACTGAAACTACACTTAACTAAATAGCGGGTGGGGGAGAAATTATTTTTGTCCCACAGGATTCAGTAAGAGATGACGGAAACATGGACTTCCCCTGGAAAACTGAAATGCTTAAGCAGCTGTACTTCACTGCAAAAATATCAGGGTACAAAACTTTCTGGAAGCTGTTTTGGGTTTTGCATTTATACTCTACATTGAAGCTGTAAAATGGTTCAGCAGAAACATGATTTATGCCTGCATATGCTCAAACTAGCTTTAGCTGCAATCCATGAATGAGAAATCAGAGGCTGCTTCTTGAGGAACCTAGATTTTCCTTGAACAACTGCATCTAAATAAAAGACTTTGAGCTAGTCAGGAGCAATGGGACAAAGAACGTAAGTGAATCCAGAAACGTGTGCCATTGTCAAATGACGTAAGACATGACTGAAGTTTTAAAGATTATGGTAGGGGATTAGGTGAATATAGAACAGTCATAGACCCTATCACACAGTGTTAGAACTAGGGGTATTTGATGAAGATAGTAAGAGATTGACTCAAAACGTACAAAAGAATTCTTCATTTTTACTACTCATGGGTAGTGAAGTGCTGGAACTTGCTGTCACAGGAGGCTACAGAAGCAGACAGTACCCTCAGGTTCAAAAAGACAATAAAAAAGTTCACAGGCAGTGGAGACATAAGTGATATACCTGCTAGTATGCCTAATTTAACAAATATGGATGGTGGGGGAGTAAGAGAAAAAAACACTAAAAAGTAGCTGGGCTTTCATGCTCTTCCTAAATAGTATCACTTACTCCTACTGCCCAAGACAGAACACTAGGTTGGATCGACCCCTGATCGGATCCAGCAGGGTATTTCTTATGTTCTTATGAGGTTACCACTAACATCTACAATTTGATAACACATTTGTTTCTCCCTTTCTCCCATTTTTTATTCCTGAGCAGTTAACTGGAAGAAAATCTCCTTCCTCTGGTAAAAGCCCCATCTGGACATGTGAAGAGCAACCAACTTAGCAGCCCATCAAGGACAGGCAGGACACAGAGCAAGGCAACACTGTGGCACCATCACTTAGAGCAGAGCTACTTGTCCTGCTGCGTGCAGCCACTGGTGGTCTGTAAGACAACTGAAGGTTGTTTGCAAAGCAACTGTAAAAAGAGAAACGAAAGACTTAAATACACACAGGTACACACCTGTGCAACTGTCAGTACCTGCTGTCAGGCATAGGAAAAAGCCAGCTCCTGACTGCTTTTCATACTGGCAAGCAAGCAAAATCAGCTCCCTTGCAGCACACATCAGCTCCAAGACAACAAAGCTGTAGCTCTTCATTCCACATACTCTCTCCCAAAACAGTTAAACAGTCCTTCAGAGAGGCTGGGAAAAAGTGTAGCAGGAAACTTCAGGGGGCAACCTTTGCTAGATCATACTGAGTATCAGCATTATGTCATCCAGAAATTTGTTAACTGACATCATCTGTAGTCTATATAGAAGTTAATGACCTAGTCATTATTAGAAAGCTCAAAGCATTATAGCCCCAAAACTCAATAGGTAATTTTGAGAAAACATGGTGCTGAAAATATTAGAATATTTTAAATCATGTGGGTTGAATACATTCTTAAACATATGCTCAAAACTTGACATTCAAAGTACGTAAGACCCTTTTAGGCAATGGAATCCCCAAATGCATTGTAAATTGCAAGGCAATTATATGTCGGTGGTTAAAAGATGTATAATTAAGAGGACTGAGCTCAGAGCTTCACACACTGCATCCAAACAAAAGCCACGATTAAAGAGGTCTTAAATGTGTTGTTTTGCATTTGCTAATACTAGCACAGATTTCATGTTAAATTGCTTAGTGTGTTCATGACCTGTCATAAACAAAGTACAACCATCTACACGTGCTTCTAAAACCATCAGCTTGGGGCCACAAGTGGAACATGGATCTCCAAGAACCTAAGCTTTTCCACAAACACAAATAACATAGATAGCAATTTTATTGGTTCCTCAACTTGACCAAGAAAGAGAAATTCCCTGAGTTGTCACTGTCTGACCCTTTTGCTGAGACCAACAGTAAATACATAGATTTTAAGATGTTTAGGCAACACAGAATTTCATGCATCAGAGATGAAGAGACCTTAAAAATCATTGCAAAAAGACATGCATTTAAAGCTACATTACAGTAAAACGTTTCAGTCAGTATAAGTAAAAAACATACTATTAGAGAGAAAGCAAAAACATTTCTTTTTTCTATTTCATATTAAGAGACTTTAGGCAACTAGTACCTCTCTGAAGTGCCCTGTCCTATCAAGAGAAGCTGCACCACATCTAATTGTGGTCAACATCAACACCACAAAGTTGTAACTTCTGCCCTGTTCTGTGATCTAACCATAACTTTGGCTTAGTTCTGGTCATTTAACAGCTCAATTCTCTACTACAATCAGCTACCAAACCAAGCCTGCTGTAATTCTGGAAACAAGAGTCTTTTTGTTAGTACAAGCATCCAAATTGAGACAGAAATCACTGGGAAGCAACCAAAGTCAACTACAAGAGTTCCTGTTTTTTACTTTTACTAACTAGAGTACAATCCTTACACTCAAGAAGACCTCTGAAGAGCCCTGCACAAGCCAAGGTACTGCACACACATGCAAGTACCCTGACAGATCAAGGCACTTAATATGTTAACATCTTCCTAGGCATTTCTAGTTACCACCTGGAATCACGTTTTGGAGTATTTTATTTCATATGTTAAAATCTACCTAGGAAGACAGACGCAGCAACATTGTCCTCATTCTGCCTTTTTAGAAAGCTTATTACTTCAACTCTGCAAAAAGGGAGTTTATATTGCATAAGGATATCCAGTATATTAGCAGAAATCGGTAGTATATTTCATGCAATACTGGTAATATAGATTATGCTTCAGAATATAATGCAATAAATACAGAACTAAACTTAAGTATTATTCCCAGTAATATAATGGCTAGAGAACACCTAGATTTGTACCAAGTTTCAACCAACAGCAGAAAACATAACTAAGAGGGAAAATAACTTTTTGTTCCAAAAATGAACAGGTGGTTCTTTTTGTTTTCCTACACAAAATGAACTTAAGCAGGATCTTTAATTTCGGCTAATTCACTCATCCAATAAAGAGTACCTTAGAGAAAACATGACAAAGACAGCCCAAAGCCTAAAAAACAACAAACATTTAAGACTCTAGGAATTTTAGAAATTTCAAAGGATTTCTAAAGAGAAAAAATGTTAAGTAGGAAGATTCCTAACTGTCGTCAAGAGCACATTCATATAGATTTCAATAAAATAATTTCCTAAACATGGCTATTCCTGACAAAAGGTTCAAGACAGGCTCCATATCCTTGGAAGTCTTTTGAACAAGCATTTCTCTATTTGAGCAGAAGGTCTCAGGTCCCAGTCCTGCAATCCCACCCTCACAGGCAGACAGATTCTCGTGCTTGCACAGAAGCACACTTATTTCAATGTGGCTATACACAGGCCCAGGGTTTGCCAGGGTGAGCGGAGCTGCAGACAGGCGGCCTTCAGATGCAGCACTAAGTGGAACATTTGGGCCACTGCAACATCGCAGAAATGCACTTTGAAAAGTTATCTCAAAATATCAAAACCATGACCCTGAGAGAAAGCAGGGACTAAATATACCACAGCATACCTTGCATCTGTACTTGAAAAAGGCTGCAAGTCCAAGTCTTTTATTTCTTCAAATAACAGATAACCTGCACTTGCATATGAGGTTAAACAAAATACCTTAAATCTTTTTAGTCCCAGTACTGCAAAAACAAACAAGTTTATTTTCACACAGTACAGGAATATCGTTCCTCCTTCACTAGGAATACTCAACAAATAAAATAAATCAGTAGAGATTCTTACAGAGAAGCCTTTTAGCAGTTAAAAGCTATCCAAGTTTCAATATGGTATTACAATAAATTTGTACCTCCTGAGGATTTACCGTACTGTTAGAACATGGTACATGCAACTCTGTAGGACCCAGCCCTATGTACAAATCCATCCACTCATCATAAAAATATTGAAACATCAAAACAACTTCCCCTAAGTAAATTTTGAGTTGCTTTCTGTATATAATTTAGCCTCACAATTAATAAAACTTGACTGATATACATATATACTAGAAACAAATCACATAAAAAGCTGAAGATGGCTGTGAAAACGTCACCTGGTTGTGACAGCTTCATACAAAACATGAGCACTCCAGTTCAGCAATCAGCAGCAGTACCTGGTGGGTACAGCCTTAGCATGAAACACTGGCAGTACTGGGGTGCCTATATGAGAGGACACTCAACTACAGGGGAACAATGTGTTGCCCTAAATTTGCCAATTTTCTTTTTAAGTCTACCAATCCTCAAAAACTGAGAGCAGCCTTAAAATAAACCATTGTATGTTGTTAAGTAACAAAGTTAGAACTAACTATAGATCTACATATTTTAATCAGACGCTATAATATAAGGCTTTAAGGTAAACATTACTGTCATTTCCAAAATTCATTTGAGGTTACCCGTATGAAGCCATTAGCATTTTGAGCTAAACGACATATGAAGGAACATCTGACCAAAACTAGACACCTTCTACATTAGAAACCAGAGCTATTTCACCTGTGCAGGGTGAAGTGCGTTGGTGGGTTTTCCGGTGGACTCACTTCACAACTACCAGACGTTCTTTTCCCTGAAAAAAAAGATCCTTTCATTTTCAACCCTGGGGGGCAGCGGCATCTCGTAGGGGACCCCCACCCCAGCAGGACCCCGGCCCACGGGGAGAGCTAGGGTCTGCCAGCAGGGACACGAGAGGGGACCAGGGCCCAAGTCCAGACACAGCCCTTGCTGTGTAGGGGCCACTGAGGCGATCCCCTCCCCTGGCTGCGGGGACAGGGGGCTGCTGCCCGTGTCCTGCTGAAGCCAACCGGTCCTAAGACAGTGGGGGTGGCTGAGGGTCCCCGGCCCGGGCCGCGGCGGGGCTGAGGTGGCTGCCAGTCCCGGCACATGGCTGGTGCGAAGGCGAGAGCGATGCAGCCCCTCACTCCTGTCCCTCGCTCCCAGCTTCAGGGGCCGCTCCGGGGCCCCCATGAGCTGGCAGCTTACGGGGGGGGGGGGGGGCACACTAACGGCCTCCTCACACCCCCCAAAACCGCCCCCCCCACTCCCTCCCAAAAAGTTGTGAGGCGAATCAGCCCGCCGCCGGCCCGATCGAGGGGGGGGGACACCGGCGGGAGGGAAGCGGGGGGGACGGGACGGGCGGGGGGGGGGGGGGGAGGGGGGGGGACCGCGACCGCGTCCCGGGGCGCCCCCACTCCGCCGGCCCCGTCCCCACGACCGCGGGCGCGGAGCGAGCGGCGAGGGGGGGAAGCACCCGAAAAACGCCGCGAAACTTTCCAGGCCGCGGCCGGCGCGGCCCCGCACGCCCCGCGGGACCGGCACCGCCTCCGCCGCGGCGGCCCCGCACCGGGCTGGGGGAGGGGGCGCCGCCCCCCCACCCCACACACCCCACACCCCCCCCCCGCAGCCACCGCCACTCATTAAAAGTAATTTCGGCAAATTAATGCCGCCCCCCGCCTCCCCCGTCCCGCGGGCCCCCCTCGCCCCGCCGCCCCGCGCGGTGCGGGGGGGAGGGGAGGGGGGGCAGCGGCCCCGGCCGAGTCGCCCCTGCCGTCTCCCCCCCGGCCGCCAAGCTCCGGCGGCAGCGGGGCTCGGCCCGCTTTAGGCCCCGGGGCCCGGTGTAGGGGGCCCGGCGGGGCGGGGAGCGGAGCTGCCGGGCCGCGCCGCTCTGAGGCCTAGCGCCCCGCCGCCCCCGTTCTCCCCCGTCGCCCTTCACCTCCCGGGCAAAGGCGCCACGGCGCCGCGCCCCGACCCTCCCGCTGGGCCCCGGCAGCCGTCTCACCCCCCTTCGGCACTCCTCTCGGCGCCCGAAAGCGCCAAAAACCCCCGTGGCTCCCCTCACCCCCCGCTGCGGCCTACACCGCCGCGGCCGATCCCCGGGCTCGCGTAGCCCGCCTCCCCGCCCGCCCTGCACGCTTCGCACCGCCTGCCGCGCTACGCGAGCCCGGGGATGCAGGCCGGGCCTGGCTTACCTTTCCAGCTGCTTTTTTTTTCTCCTCTCTCTCCTCTCCCCCCTTTCCCTCTGTTGGGCTGACAGATCAGAGTTTCCTCCCCAGCAGAGGGACTGGGAATGGGCTCGGGCTCTGTGCTGAGGAGCTGCTGCCCCCCTGGCTCTAAGAAGATCCTGCTTTTTGTGGGGAGGAAGCTTTGGGGGCTCTTTATTATTTTAAAACTACAAAGTGCTCAGAGGGTAGGTGATTATTAAGGGGATTCCCTGAATATATTCTCCAGCAAAGAAGGCAGGGCTGCTGGGGCTGCTCAAGAAGAGAGCCAGCAGCCTCCTACAGCACCACTACAGGCACTGAGAGGACATAACATCAGAGAACGGCTCCTCTGCCCTCCAAAACAACAACTTTCCTACCATCTTGGAGGTAGTAGAGAGGGAGAGAGGGAGGGGGAAAAAAGTACAGAAGGTTTTTATAAAGTGTCAATTTGGGGGAGGGAGCCAAATAGCCAAAACAAAATTTTTTATCATTTATGTGACTTTTTATTTTAAATAAAAATAAAATACAAAGGCACGTGGCTGAAGAAATAATTTTCTTTATAACCTGTTAAGATCATCTTTCTGGAAAAAAAAAATAAAAGGAGGTACGGTAAAAAATATATTTTTAGTAACTTTGGTTTTCTTTAAAAATTCAATTTTCGGTTTTTTGTTTTTTTTTTTTTTTTTTCCTGTAATTTATAAAGTTGATAACTTTTTTGTCGTTGTGTGATAGTTCTAAAATTTAGTGTGTAATTGTGAAAGTTAGTGTAACTTTTTTTTTGGTAGTCGTACTCTCAGAACAGCAGATATTGATGTGGGATAGTTTGGAATTAACTGTACCATGACGTCTTTTTCTTTCAAGACATTGTAAATAAAACTGATAAAACTGAATGTACAGGTAGGAAAAAAAAGCCTTTTTTTTTTTCCTCCCCTTCGCCCCCATAGAGTTAAGCCATGTAGAGAGACTATGGGGGATCTAGTGCAAGTAAGTAGAGCTTATGATATATGTCTGAGAAATTCTGCTAATCTATCATAAATTTGTCGTTGTCAGCCCTTCAGGATGGCAGGTGAAAAAATAAAATTCATAGCAGGAAATTTGGAGGCAATAGTTGAGTTTCGGTTTTAACGTTTTCAAAGCACTTTGTAGCCTTTTAAAATCTGGTTTAGTTGTTTTTAAGTTACTGCTCTGATTTGGGGGCTTTTTTCCTGATATTTACTAATACTGCTATTCCTGAATTCTTTATGGAGTTGAGAAATGGTATAAATTTATACTACAGTATCTTGTAATATAAAATAGTCATTGTGGGGTTTTTTTGTTGCACATGTTTTTATTAGATTGTAAAAAAATATGAAATGCTGTCAAAACTATGTGAGATGCTCTGGTGAATCTATAGGTGAGGACAGTGATCACTGTATTCAGAAGACCTATGATAATGTTTCTTCCAATACAATTATGCACAGCCCTGTTCAGAGATGAACTGCAAAGATGCATTATTATTTGTCCTAAAGGAAAAGTAAATAATTAGGAAACTAATGAGCTGTAGATACAAAAAAATGTACTTAAGTTTCTTCTGTTATAAAAATTATTCAGGTGGTATAGGCTAATTGAACTGCAGTCAGACTAAGGTCATAGAATTAAGGTATTGAATTATCTAGTACATTATCAACCTCTCCCCCTCCTCTGACAAATCTGAAATATGTTGGTTTAGCTCAGTTACTGTAATTTAAAAAAAAAAAAAAATCCTGAATTTAGATACATCCTCTTTTCAAAACATACTTTGTGCATTTGCCTAGCTAGTATAGCGAGCGTAGTTTGTGTTTATAGTGGGTTTTTCGTTTAGATAAATTAGTTTGAATTAAAGTATAATTAAAGTCAGCTGTTCTTTGTGTCAAACTATTTTTTGATCAGCTGGATTTTTTTTAAATTATGGTTAGTCTACCTAGCATATTTTACTAATCCAGAGTGTTGCGTTCTGTGGAGTTATTTCATAGGAAGTGTTTTTCTGTATCATATTATTAATCCATGAAATTCATTAATCTGCTCTGACATTAGGAAAAAAATAATCAAATATGTTACTCCTATATCGTATTTTAAAAGATTTTGTATAAAAGTAATGCGATAATTAGTGTACTTCATAATCTTACCAGTCATTATTGTGTGCTTTGGAGCATGAAGTATAATGATTCTTTTTGTAAGATATTTAAACAAAAAATACTTTTATATTCTGTATCTAAATTTCATTACAGGAATGACAGGGATTACAAATGTTGGTCATATATGGGATGATTAAAAAAAAACCCTTTTGAAATATTATGAATAAATTATCTCAGGGGACTTGGAAATTCAACAAATGCAGCATAAACTAGTATTTCCTTTTCTTTTATTCTAAATAAATAAAGGACAAAATTCTCTGACCCCAGTTTTGCAAGTGCTTGCAGGCTTGATTAATTCAAAAGTGTTTGAAGAATCGCTCAATACTTAGTTGCATAAGACTTTTACCAAGTGGGTAGGATTTTGCTAGAGTTCGGAGTTCAAGTTTCTGCACTAAGTGATATCTTGTATCTAGCACTATGTTAAACAAGAGAATTACTACTTTTAACTGTAATTCAATATTTCACTATAATTCAACTATAATCCAAGTTAGTTCTCTTTATTGCACTATTAAGAAATTTTTAGTGCTTTGGGAAGAAAGGCATACCATGAACAACTGGTCTATACTGAGTCTTTCTGTGATACTCTTGAGAATATCTGTACAGCACACTGAGGGGTATCGCAGTATTTTTTTTTAATGGGATGCAGATGATACAACATGTTAGAGAAATGGCTATGAAAGCACTTGAGAACCTGAACACAGGAACAATATTAAACCTTTTATTTGGCTTATGTGCTTGACTTTGCAGATACTGATTTTAATGGGATTACTTGCATGCCTAAATTTAAACATGCATCATAGTAGCAGTGCACATTTTGGTGGCATCCTGAGATCTATTTGATGTGTGTTAATTGCAAAGCCAGAAGATTAATGCTAAGGGAAAGGAGAAGCACTTGGAATCTAGTTTGTAAGGGGAAAACTGAAATGAGATATTTTTTAGTGTGTTGTAAAAAAAAAAAAATGTGAATCTTTTGAAGGAGGACAAAGTAGAGAGGAAAAATTCACTAGATGATAGTTACATGGACTACTGTGTAATCATTCAGCAGACAAATTAAAATCTGTAGGTTATGGATGGAGAAATTTATTTAACAAAATTTTATTTACCTGAGAGGATTAAAAGGATTTGCTTTTCAGTAACTTACTAAAAATTGCAAATATTATTTTGTTTTGCTGACAACAAAATGTTACACAGTAACACCCTAAATGATCAAAGTCTGTGTACTAATGCAGAATTAAAAGATTTTTTAAAAAATTTGTGTATCTTTATGGACAAGACTCTTATGTTGGGAGATGCATCATTTTGATAGAGTAGAGCAGTACTCTGAAATTATGTTGACGAACAAATTGGACACCTGTACAAGGACAGTGTGTAAACCCAAAGCAAGAAACATCCTCTGTACCACATGAAGAATTGTATTCTGAAAATTCCATTTCTTCATCACAGCATAGGTCTGTCTGCCTTGACTTTAAAGTGGCCACATCCCTGGACCAACCGCTCCAGCCAGTAGACATATTGTACGCTTGAGCACAGAGTGGTCAAAGAATATTGATGTTCCCTAGATCACTAGTTTCTGGCTCATGAAGCATACTTCGCTGATGTGTCTCACCAGTGGCAGTAGTGAGACAGAGGGCAGTGACATAGTGAATAAGCTTTGTGAGTCTAATAAAAGTAATGGTGTAAATGCTTTAGGGTGTATACCAGTTACTGGAAGAGGCTACATCAAGAAATGAACCTTGACTCTCTCCCAAGGTCATATGTACCCCAAATACAGACCTTAGAAATTTCCAAAGCATGACTTAGACTCTGCATGTGGTAAAGAGTCTGGGGGTTTCAGCAAATAGTATTATAATGTCATCATCTTGGTATTATTCCTTGAAAGACACACACATTCTGAAGAGACAGTTCCAATGTCTTCAAGTGCTTGTGAAAGAGATTAGCAATATATTTAAAATGCAGGTAAATAGTGTGAAGGGGAAGAACAACTCTTAAGTGTGAGGTGTTCATTAGAGACTTTCACATATAAAGCCACATTGTATAGAAGATCTTGTCTTCAAGCGTTTAAACACTGAAAGGGGTGACAAATTAAATAAAAACCAAAATTATGATGAGGCGCGTTCTTCTAAGCAATGTCTTAAGCAGAAGTTTTAAGTCATATTGGTTTATTTAATTGTGGTAAGCTCTGATGTCAAGTTAACCATTAAAGCCCAGCATAATGATATTCTTGAAAAATGCTTATTCTTATTTTTCAACAATTCTTTAACATGGAAACGTGATTGCAGTGGTTGTCTAGCCTATCTGAATTTCAGTTATCCTGTCTGCTGCAGTAGTATGTCTTTGATAACCAGCCTGCTTTTTGCCACTTTTCCAAACATCAGAATCCCTATACTAAAAACATTGTCTACAGTCCAAGGATTTTTCTCTAGCAAATACACCCAAGTTATGGCATAAATTCAGCTGCTAAACCCCTTCAAACCCATGTTTCAGTGCACTCCTACGTGGCAGATAGCACAGCTGAAAGTATAGGACAAGCCATATGTAGAACAGAGTAACTTTGCTTTACTTCATTTAAAGTCATAAATGCTAGCAAAGCAATGCAGAGTACAGATAGCTGGCCTTGTTTTCCCAAGTCTTAGGGTCTTCATTAAAGCTTACTGGAGCAATGGGAATTCTGCTGTTGATTTCAGTAGGAGTACAGTTGCGGAAATATTTAACCAATTGGGAGCAGACATATGCTAGCTATTGCATGATAACGTAACTGATAGTGAACTGTACTGAAAATAGTAATTAGCTGAGACTTAACTAATCTGTTCTTCATTATCAATGTGTATTTTAATCTGCATTAAATAAATGGTATTGTCTTCCAAAAGCTCAGCAAAGACAATATAGTAAGACTGTTAATTGTGGGAAGGCTGTCCAGAGTACGTGACAGGCACCTGTGGAGACTTCTTTAAATAGAACCCAAATGAATAGAATAAACTGTCCCAGCAGAATGCTCTACTACAGTCCCATTTTACTGGGAAGCCCCCTGTTAATTCAAAGTATACTATTCTATTTTTACTATCTGCTTCTGTCTATTGATATTTCATTAACTGTAACTGTAGCGGTTAAGAAGCTACACAGTTTGTCAGCAGTCCTTCTTTCTGCTATTAGTTCAGTTACTAATTTCAGGTTAGAGTGGGTTTTGGTCATCACTGGAAACTAGAAAGTTGAGAATTCCCACTCTGGACCAAATCAGTGATCTCTTGGTCTTCTGAGAGTAGCCAGTTTAAGATGCTTCAAACAAAAGTGTGGAATACCCTGTGATGGAGAATTCAGAAATGAAAAACATGCAGGACAGGATTTTTCAAAAATAGTTGAAGTTGAGCTAACATC